TGGGACTGTTTGAACATTTGCTACATTGTAGTGCAAATGGTAATCGAGCCAGGTTTTTGGGGTCAAAACTAGAATTTTTGTTTTCATTTTACTTAATTTTTTTTCTATTTTTTATGGTGAATATATTTTTAGTTTTTCCTGGATGGCTTTTTTAAAATACATGTTTTTTTTCCATAGATTATTGTTTCGGTTCCAAAAAAAATCTATCTATACACGCCGTTTAATAATTATAAGTAAGTGAAGCTCGACGATACATCTCAAAGCACGGTCTAGATGCTACGTTTTGCATCAAGTTTTGTCTGCACAGTTCAACACGTGATCAGGTATCAGTAACGTAACGTCTGGACCGGGCTTAAGTCTGTAAAATCATAAAACGTGCTGATGTGAACCATGGTTTATGAACGTCAAAGTCATCGAAAAAACGACAGCGGACCGACAGCGACAGGTGTTCAGACGGCTGCGGACGATCGTAAATTCGTAAAGTTGGATCCTATATACCTAGTAGCCTGCCCCTTACTGTATACCTATATATTATATAATTATAACTAAGAAATAAATATATTTCTTTGCATAATACTAAAATTATTATAGTTTAAACCTACAAGAAGACAGTGTTCTTACAGCAAAAGAACAATATTATTTTTATTATTCAATTCACAAGATTAACATTGACGTCTTTGGAACAGATAGGTATAATACAAATTTTCTTTTAAAACCCTCAAAAGAAAAGTAAATAGCCAAATTTGCCCAAACCAAGTATACCAATATGTTCTGCACAGGCCACTATTTAAAATCTCATTAGGAAATATAGGTATCGTCGGGCAGGTATGATTGATATGGCCTGGTACGCTAAAGTGTGCGTCAAGCATATACAGGATGACAATTTAAAAGTAGCAATTGGGAATATCTCTTAGACAAAAAATACTATCAGGAAGATCTCAAATATTGGATTGGAGGGGGAACCAAAATGAGGCACTGTTTGATTCACCTCGCCTCACCTGTTAGGGGGAAGCTACCATAACTTATTTTTTTCAAATACGAACCTACCTTGTGTTGCACATCGTTGGATAGCTCGTTGCTTTCCTATTATAGTCTTATAGCCAAATCTTAAATGGTACAATTAGTTTTTGACATATCAGTGTTCGAAAATAAGCATATTTTTAAAACTACCTAGTAATTTTGACTACCTATCTCTTAGACAAAAGAATTCTGTCATAGAAGTGTCAAATACACATAAGAAAACCAACATATTGACATTTAAATTTTTTTTTGATGATTTATTATCAGACACACACACAATTGAAAATAAAACTAGCTGTAAATTTCTTGGTATTCATGTTGATACTCAACTTAAGTTTAATGAGCAGGTTACAAATCTAAACAAACGATTGGCAAGTGGTTGCTATGCTGTAAGAATAGCGTCAAATGAACTTGGTTTGAATACTGCTAAGTTGGTTTATTTCTCGTTGGTTGAATCACATATCAGGTATGGCATTGCATTTTGGGGTAACTGTTCTAATAAATTGTTTGATTCTGTTTTTGTCATTCAAAAGAGAGCAGTGCGCTATTTGTGTCAGGTTGGATATTGGGAGCATTGCAAGCCACTATTTTTAAAACATAAAATACTTACAGTATGCTGTATATTTATCATGGAAACTGCTTGCCTTATGCACAAAAAACATTATGATGAGTTAGAATATCCAAGAACTTATCCAACTAGGCAACTTCTTAAAATTCAGCTTCCTATACCCAAGACTGCATTGACGCAAAATTCACTAATTTATAAAAGTAGGCAAATTTTTAATCATCTGCCTGTTAACTTAAGGCAGATAGGTGATTTTAAAAAGTTTAGACTAGAGCTCAAAACATTTTTACATGGAAAAGCCTACTATCATATTAATGAATTTTTAAATGAAAATTTTTAATTTTGTTTGTTTCATTGTTTTGTTTTGTTCTGACCGCAACCTTTATGTTTTTTCTGTATTGGCTGTACCTTCTATATGACTCTATAGTTTGATGTAGTAAAAATTGTACATGTGTTGCTTAGGATTATGCTTTGACATTTATGTTTATGTTTATTTTTTATTTTATTGATTGTACCTCTTTTTTTTTATAACCCGATAATTTTTAATTACTTGCACATTATTTAAGATCATGCTTTGTCAATGAAATTTATTTTCCGACAATGAAACCATTTTGTTGATTGATTGATTGATTGAAAAAACAAATGTTTTTATTGCCTAACCCCTACCCCTCCGGTCTTGGAGGCTTCCCCCTAATGATTTTTCTAAAATGAGAAACTACTCCTTTGAAAGGTTTTTTACTTTTTTATTCCTCTTTAGAGGCGTGACCATTTCATTACAGCTACAATATAGAACATGATCACTTGACTCTTCATCTGGAAAACACAAAAACAATTTTGCCTGGCAAAGTTAAAGAGCATTCAGCTATCTATTAAAGCCCCATTAGGCTGAACTCACTTGAAACCACGTTGTGCAGCTGACACCCAACAGCAAATCATAATTCAACCATTTCTCGCTGGTATTCGGTAGTGCCCCACTGATACACTTACCTTCAATAGTATAATCGTGTAACAAATGAGATCCTAACCTATTATGGCGTACGGCTTCCCGGGGAAATGAGATCCTAACCTATTATGGCGTACGGCTTCCCCGGGGGACACCAATTACCAAAAAGAAATAATCAAACCATGATTTGTTGCCCTGGATATCAGTGAATCGCAACTTCAATTGTTAAGAGGAAGTTATTGAAAACATCTACAGCCAAATGCTTAAAGTCTAATACCAAACATGCACAACTGGAAGTAGCTTACCAAAATTCTGATTTGAAGGGCAGTTAGGATCATAGCTTAGGTAATTATTATTTTTTCAATAGCTTTTTCCTTCACAATAGTGTACTGCCGAATGACGAATATAAAAATAGATAAGAAAAGAAAGGTACGATAGCTTGTTTACATTACCCTGGTCCTTTTTTTCTTATACTCCATTGATGATTCATCAATTAGGTAATAATATTGAGATGAACAAATCCTTCCATCTTTACTTGCTGAAATGCACAAAACAACAATTTCAGATTGTTTCGAAAATGTGATGAAAAACCTTTTGAGAATGATCATTTTCCGAGTGGCAAAAATTGCGAAAACTACTAAGTGCAAAACAATTATTATTTTGTTATGTATTATGCATCAAATAATATGTACTGGTATTACTATGTAGATATATACCTTTTCAATCGATCCACACTGACCAAATATACGTCCAATTCAACGACGTCAAATGGACGCTTCATAGACATGCTAGCGATTTCAGCGAACCACCATTTTCATGCTTTTATTCCCAGCTACAATTTTATCCTGGTATCGCTTTTGGTTACCGAGATATTTAATTTTGAGGATTTGCAAATTAAAATTTGAAAGCCCTTACAAAGTGCCCTTAGGAAAAAGTACCAAAAACTGAAAATTTTTATTTTTGGATTTTTCTTAAAATTCTGACTTTTCAAATCAATAGAGCGAGTCCAAATTAGTCAGAAACAACTCTCACATTAGTAACATTTGAAAATTTCTATGGGAAAAAAATCTAAAAAGAAATCCCATTTTTGGCTTTGGAAATTTTTTGAAATTTTGACATGCTCATGAATAATTGCTCATATCTTCTACCCTCTAAGAGGGGTGGCGGGGTGACTCAAAAAGTGCTTCATTTTGGTTTCCCCTCCAATCCCTCGATACATATTTGAGATCTTCCTGATAGTATTTTTTGTCCAAGAGATATTCCCGATTGCTACTTTTCAAATTGTCACCCTGTATGTCCGACGTGGCCTGAATGGAAACATCACTGTCGGGCAGTTATGCCAGACGCGGCCAAACATTAAGCTTTTTACAAGGCTTTTTAGTATAAAAAAAAAGAATAATCAATAACAAATTCACCAGACAGTATACACAAATCTAAGTAAAACCTGCAACTCAAACTATAATAAAACATAACTAAAAACTGGAAATAGGAAACGGATTGATGGTGATTCCAGGATTAGGAAATTTGTCACCGGTTCATTTTAAAAGAAATATTGACTAGTACTTTGCCGTTTTTGACAACAATATGTCATCATGTTAGGAAAACTCAAAGTATACGAATGAATGAGTGTGAAGGTTGGCAATTTAGGACTTTCATTGTCTGAGTTTATTTAAGACACAACATTTCAGTCTCTACTGGATCACCTACCGTTAGTCTCTGTTAGGAATAAGTGGTATAGGATTTAAAAACTTGAATTTTTTTTGTTGAAAACTTTATTGAGCTGAAGAGCAATATAAATTTACAATTTCAACTTAACTTTTTATTTTAACCCTCTAGTGCTCGAACGCAGTAGATTTGAGGTTTCTTACTCAACAGGTTAGACTCAGATCAGATCATAGAAATAAAAAAACACACTGAAACTAAGGTAAAAATACAAAAAGGAAAATCTCTTGTCTCATTGTGATTTTTTTTTGAATAATTGGTAACAAATCTACTCAGAAATGGCTTGTAGAGTGGATGTTGGTACCTTTATTTTTTTCTTTTCTGGAATTCTACACAATATGATTTCCGATATACCTACCTACATTGTTCCTCATAATGTTTGCTACACATGTATTTTTTTTTGTAGGATATGGAATTTTTCTCATGTGCAATCGATCCTGCATGTCCGATAAACTAAAAGTACATTTTGATATCGTTCACGTGGACACTGTTGTGGCGGTAAATTCCTGCGCATATCCATGGCGAAAAACAAGTAATTTGCTAGGTTTTGCTTTTGCTCCATTTTGCAGACAGCCTCAAAACATCGTTTTAATCACATTTTTAAAATAACTTTTTCCGATGTTTTGCCATCTAGCCCCACTTCTCGCTTTTCCATATCTAAAGATTCCCATATGTGGAGAACATTATGGGGGACACTGTATATCTACTATTCCCAGCAAATTCTCTCAACAAACATTTTATATATTTTAGGACATTGCCAGACAATTTTTCACTTATGCTAGTGCAGCTGAAGAAGGAGAACTGACTCCAGAGTTAGTAATGCTCATGAGAAGACTTTGGCAAGACCCAGGAGTACAGCTGTGTTTCTCTAGATCCAGAGAGTATCAACTAAATGATTCGGCAGCTTATTATTTAAATTCCCTGGACAGAATCTCACAGAATAACTATGTGCCCACTCAACAAGACGTTTTAAGAACTAGAGTTAAAACTACAGGCATTGTGGAAACCCATTTTTCTTTCAAGAGTTTACACTTCAAGTAAGTTGTATTTTTTTATTTTTAGATAAAATGTAATACCCATTCTATATTTTGACTTGCAGAATGTTTGATGTAGGAGGACAAAGATCAGAAAGAAAAAAATGGATTCACTGCTTTGAAGGAGTTACAGCCATTATTTTTTGTGTTGCTTTATCAGGTATAACTATTATTAAAAAATTAAATATATGTATATACCCAAGTAATTTTTTGATCTTTCGCTTTCCAGGCTATGATTTAGTTTTGGCTGAAGATGAAGAAATGAACAGGATGGTTGAATCAATGAAACTTTTTGATTCCATTTGCAACAGTAAATGGTTTGTGACAACATCTATTATTCTTTTTCTTAACAAAAAAGATCTCTTTGAAGAAAAAATAAGCAGAAGCCCCTTAACAATTTGTTTCCCGGAATATTCTGGTTCTAACACCTATGAAGATGCTTCAGCATATATAAGAATGAAGTTTGAGAACCTCAATAGAAGAAAGGATCAAAAAGAAATTTACACACACTTCACATGTGCGACCGATACAAGTAATATCCAATTTGTTTTCGACTGTGTCACTGATGTTATTATTAAGAACAATCTCAAAGATTGTGGATTGCTTATGTAAGTTACTTAAATATGGTTTATTGAATAGTTACTTATACTAGTTACTTAAAAAGATGTCTGTTTTGTAGCCCTGTTTAATAGTGAATGTAAAAGTCAGTTGTAAATAATAATTAGTTTGCTTTTGAAAGACAGCTAAGATTTTAGCTGTGATGAAGGGTAATAAAATAAACTTACCTTTATACCTTCAATTTATAATTTATTTTTTAGTTTATTAAACTAACCGAATACTTGTTTAAGTTAATGTTGTGCTTAAATTATTAATTTTTGTCCATTATTTTTTGGTTTCGTAAAAGGATGTTGCCAAATTTCTTAGTTCATTTTTGATTTTTCTGTATCAGTTTTCATTTTGACTGAAAAATAAGTGAAATAATTTTTGATCTCTGGTCCAGTATATATTTTTGTAATAGTAATATGCTTGTATTGCAATATTTAGTGTTTTAAGTAGTCATAGTAGTAGATTGAAATCGCTAATGTGTTTAGTATGAGGGACTTCTAGCTATATTACTTGATAATCACTAATATCGTGAGATCATCATTCCTTATTTTTAAACCATGTCCTCCACTATGCTATAATTCCATGACAAAGTATCAATAAATTAATATTTTTGGTACACTCGAATCGATAACTTTAGTTTTATTATTTAGAAACTTACATAGATATAATTAATTTTTAGCTGCAACTTGCAGCTATGTTTACATAAGGAGATAAATAAACTAGGTGACTTTGTATGAACATGTATATTTTCTATTAAGGGGATTGAATGCGCCTCAATGCCAAAATATTTTTTCCTCCTTAGTGGAAATGAGATGAATGAAACAAGGAATGCATTGCGTTCTTAATTTCAACCTAACTTTTTAACAGTTGAAGTTATATCAAATTTCTTTTTTGCATTGGATTTATAATATAGGGACGAATGACGCTATCTTTTTACAAATCCGATAATAGAAACAAGTTCTCGAAAAATTATAAAAATGTAATTTAAACTGGAAAAAAACGAGAAAGTTAATTAATTTATGGTGTTTTTTTTAATTAGCGCCATTCTTATGTGTGTTAGCTATACAATGGCATAAATCAGAATTCCAAAAATTATCTAGTTTTTTTTTGGAAAAATTTAATTAATTCTTTTTGTCATTTTGTCTGTCTCTGTTATACCCGCAGCAAACCCTATGGCGCTTTCCTCCGCCTGTTTTGCGATACATTTTTAATCGCCCTCATGAACAATCGAGCGCTAGCCGGCCCAACAGTAGCCCAATGTAATGATCGCGATGAACCTCGCATCTTTATTAGTATGTATTAACTTGTTGGGTAGTTGTATAGTTCGACGTGCGTTACAATATACACTCATCAAAAAAGTCTAGGGAACAAGAAATATTCGTCAGAATAACTTTTTTTAAAAAGATACCATATGGGTATTTGTTGAACAAATCTTGTAAAATTTATCATATCGGCTTTTCCAGCAGGCTTTAACAAAATTTAAAAATCTTTTAGAAGTATATTTTGTTCAATTTATAAATGTTGTATCTTGTTCCCTAGACTATTTTGATGTGTGTATTTTAAACGGTGCATTCAATCCCCTTAAGAGCAAAGCGCTTCCGGCTAATCAGTCATCATCAGTGCCAACTGAAATTGTACGAAAAGGGTGCTATAGTACCTAAAATATACACGTTCATACAAATTCACCTACTTTATTCAATAATTTTTAGGTTTGTTGCACAACACTGCATATTTTTTAATGGCAAATAATATACAAGGTTGTACTATTTATCGAATCTTCGTCTCACATTAATATATACGGGAAAATTGATACGAATGGAAAAAGACAAATAATTAGTGAACAAATCACGAATCAGTGAAACTTTCAATGCAAATGATTCAAAATAAAATTTCGATATCTTTGTTATACATTTTTTAATTACCTTGATTCTATTGGTTCAATTTTCCAAGTAGGTATGTGGTATATGGATTGCTCTTAAAAAATACTTTAGATTTTGGACATTATGCATTTACCATTCAAACATTCTCATATCTGTAGGTGACACAGGAGTAATAAGTATGTAGTATATTAGTATGTATTAAAATTTATGTCGGACAAATTACCTGGGAACATTTTAAACAATTTTTTTGTGCAAATTTTATGTTTTTTTTTTTTCTAGGAAATATAAAGTTTATATAAAAACATGTTTCATTAGACTAAATATATTTTTTTTTGTTTCAAATGTTCCCAACAATAGAAACATGTTATCATAAGACAAAAAAAGGACCTTATTTCAAGGGGATCATTTTAAAAATCAATCCCTCTTTTTTGAAGATGATTTGATAAATTTTTTTCCCTATGTACTTACCTATGTACATACACTAAATTCCCACACAAATGAATCGCAAATAAATAATTCTAGGCTCCCAAAATTATTGAAACAATATTATGTATATTGATATTGTTACGCTAAAACGTTGCGATATCAATACTTAACCAATTCAAAAATGTACATGTTAAGTGATGAAGAAAATAAAGGATAATTAATTATCCAAAAATGTAAGATCTGCATTTTGTGCCCATGACAGAATTTATTTCTTGGCGGATTTCGTTACGGTTCTAGTATTTTTAACAGATCCATAACTTAAATCATTTCAAATTACTACAAATATCCTGATAAAGTATTCTACATGAAAATTTTCAAAATAATTCCGTTTTTGTGGAAACATCACAATATCTCTATATTTTTTTCAAGTTCATGACTGACCTAGACTGAATTATATTTTTAAAACAAAATTATAAAAATTGGGATGTTTCCTTTAGGCAAGTTATTTCCAAAAACGAAGTAGTTCTCAAATTAATTCGCACATTTAACTAATTTTTATAAACATTTTATAGAGAATATTCATATTTTGAAAAGATGCATTTAAAATGTACACCTTATTGTGTATAAAATATTTTGTAATTTGCTTTAAATGCCACTCAACTAAATACAGATGTTTTAACCGTCACGACTGCCATAATTTATAACCAGTATTTTTCATAACAATTTACAAAATTGTTTTACACTTTAAAAGGGCAACTTAATAAAATAGGTTAAATTAAACATTATTTTTGTACAGGCGCCTTCTTTGCCTTTAGAATTGATAGATTAAGAAAGACTAGATGTATTTTTTATAATATTCTGTATCTGCAAAATATTTACAATGAAATGTTATAGCTACTAACTCTTAACCATCAACTTTTCTATTTTTTTATAGCTGGTATAATGCAAGCGTAAAGACCAGAATTATATACATACATACATATTTTGAAATAAAGTAAACATATATATTCTGTTGATAATATATTATTATACTGATGATTATTGATTAAAAATGTGTTTTTTTTTTAATAGGGTAACTATGTATCAAAATTTGCTGTAGTAAGAAAGGACAAATGCTTTTATTCATAATGGGAGAATGGGAGTAGTAAATGGCCTGGAATTATTTAAAGACATGATTTTGGACCTGTACTACCTTTATTTTCAATAACTTTGATAATTAATACAAGTCATTACTAGCTACGAGCTGAAATACAATTTCAACAGCAATTTCCAGAAATATCATCATATTTTCCTGAATTTTTCAGTTGCAGGCTTCATTATGTCGAAGGTCGTCCAAATCGTACGTGAAATATCGGTCCGTCGAAATCGAGTGTTTCCAGTGGAAAAAGTGCGAGTAAAATTCCCAAATTTATCTAGGAATCCAGTGGAGTGCTTATGGTTACCTCACACGGAAAAAAATCCTGAAAATCGTAACCCAATTACGTGTTAAATGAGTTTTTGTGTGGCTGATACGTATGTATATACGTCTTAAGGTACAATTTTGCAAATGATTTTTTTGTCGATAAACAAATCACACCTTTTCTATCGCTTTATTTATATCTACACAACGGCAGAACCAGACCACCAGTGGTTAAAAAACGAATGAAGATTGAGATATTGTAGGTATTGGAAATGGCGTTGAACATTTCTAATTTACCAGCGGATCAAACCATACTCTTCAATCTACTACTGGAAGCGAACAAATCTCAAACTTTAGAACTCAAAAAAGAACTAAAACTCAATATCCAAAAATTTAATACTGAATTAGAGATTGTTCAAGAAAACGTAAGCAAATTAGGCAGAAATTATCTTGCCCTTGAAAGATCCCAAAGAAAAAATAACATTGTTCTCTTTGGACTAAACAGCAGTAAAGAAAACTTACTGGACCATACCCTCAACACTTTGAATAAATACCTGGAAACTAACATCACCAACACCGATATAAATAATATATACCAGATCGGAAAGTCTGCAACTCAACCTATAGTAATACAGTTTGTTACATTTCTTAAAAAACAAACATTATTTCAAAATAAAGAGAAGCTACAGACTTTGAGAGAACACGGCCTGTCAATTACGAATGATTTATGCAAAGAGGACCAAGATGAATTAAAAGTTCTAAGGAAACATTTGAAAAATGCAAAGGCCCAGAACCTGGAAGCAAACATCAAAGGTTATTTTCTGTTTATTGCTGGAGAACGTTACAGCGCGGAGGACTTGAAACAGATTGAAGTTGATGCAGAAAAAAACAAAGAGGAAAACGATGTGTTTGAAGACGAAGACATAGAAGAGGAAACAGAGAAGACTGACATCGATTCCAATATTGCACAAGTTCATCCAACCGCGTCAAAAGCGCGCAAAGGATCAACAACGAAAAAGGAAACAAAAACATTGGTGGAAAGGCCCGAATCCAAAACTCTGAGACGTACGAAAAGAAAACGAACATTAGTGTACCAATATAGTCCTACCAAGTAAACGATAAGGATTTTAAAAATAAACAATTTACTATTTCTCTATCAACAATCAATATAGGTACAAGTCGACTGCAATTCTTGTTTTTGTTCGTGTGAATTATTTATAAGTTAAATTTTTATATACAGCTAGCATTTACACAGCTATAAATAAACTGAAATGGATAATTATGTTAGATTTTTTGATATGAGTGAAATTAAAACTTTTGAAGCAGAAAACTTAGAAATAGCTGACAATCGTTTAACATTGAATAAAAATAAAACTAAATTTTCCATTTTTCACACAAATGAAAAAAGGGAATCAATTTTTAAGTTAGGTTATGGGAGTATTATAGATAGAGTATTAAGATTTACTTTATATACTTATACAAAATTATATAAAATTATTACTGTGTTTAATTTCTTCAATTATTGTATGAAGTATTACAGCGATCCGTAGCACCATTGATTATTTGAAGTGGCAGACAAGATTTAATCTTAAGCAACTTCAAATAGTTAAATTGTGGTTAGAATACGCATTGATATTACTAATTACAAAAATTAATTTAAGTCATAGCTTTCCCATATATTTATTTAAGTTTGATAAAATTATTATAACCCACAAAAACATCGTATTTGATTTAAATAAATATTATTATTATTATTATTATTATTATTATTACTATTTAAGACCTTTTTACATGGGTCTCCATTAACTTTGCCAAGTTAGTGTTGACCCCTGACGGATTGCTGAATACGTCTTGTTTCTGGTTCCATGAATATAAGCTTTTCCTTCAATTATTGGCGTTGCGTTCGCATCAGTGTTGTTTTTTCGCCAGATTTTTTTGTTTTATTTTGGTTAGAAATTTTTTCAGTGTGACGGTTGAGTTGAAGCAAAGGTTGAAGACTGTTCCAACCTTAGGTTCCAACCATGTTATGGTCTTTTCTCTAATTTTTTGAACTTTTTCTGTTTCTTGGATTTTAGTTGCCTTGGCATTGTTATATTTTCTACTCTATCTAATAAGAAATTGACGACTCCTTTCTGTGCTATTTACGCGCTACAATTTAAAACAAATGATAAAAACTCGCAATGAAGCCAACAAAAACTGGAACTGCCAGGCAGTTTTATTGTGAACTACGTAATTATATCAATCAGGCTCTGGAAAAAGGAAATGAGGCTCAAAGTCAAAGTCAAAATATGCTTTATTGTCTAAAAAACATCGTTCCATTGACAAAGCAGAAATATAAAAAGTACACAGTAGGCAAATGAAGAGCAAAAATAGCAAATAACAGATACACAGCAAAAATACCATGGTAAAAAGAAAAAAAAAGCACAGCAAAAAAGAAGAAACATTACAAACAGCCATTAAAAGAAAAAAAAAAAAAAATGAAAAAATTTAAAACAAAATATTAAATATTAAGATAAACATAACACATCAACGATAAAAATTTTGAAAATGATAAAATATAAATAAAATGAAATTTTAAAATATGCATCTTCCAATTAAAAAATAAAATTACTTAAGGTACATAACTAAATTAAAATTGTTAAAGTCAAAAATATATATATACAGTGTGATTTTTTAAGTGTGCAACATATGGGGATTTTTTTTAGTAATAGCAGAACCCAAATACAAACAAGGCCAAAAGTTGGTGCATGTCTGATAATCATATTAGGTGCACTTAGAATGGTTGCAAGTCAAACAGCATACAGGGTAGCTCAAACAATATCAAAGCTGGTACTGTAAAGTACCCAATAAACAACAATCACAGTAGCCACGAGTCTAAAAAATATAAAATAGAAATATACACATATATAAATAAATAAATAAAACAAAGAGACAAACCTAAAATAAAGGTCTATCAAAAATTGCCACAAAATTAAATTTAACTCATCTACAGTTCGTCATCAAAATACTCATCCAAATTATAGTATGCCTTTTCAGCCAATGGTTCCTTAACCTTGGTTCTAAATATCTTGCATGAATCTAAGTTTCTAATATTATGTGGAAGTTTGTTGTACATTTTAATTCCACGATAAATAATGGAATTTTGCGTTAAAGTAGTCCTTGGAATAGGGAGTGGGATGTTATTATAATTTCTAGTTTGGTATGAGTGTGGGTGAGATGAATTTTTGTACTTTTTGTGAATGAGTGACACGGTTTCCAGGATGTAGAGACAGCTTAGTGTTAAAATTTTTTCTTGTAAAAACAGCGGTTTGCAGTGATCCCTTAATTTGGCTCCACACAAATATCTTATGCATCTCTTTTGTATTATAAATGCTGATCTAAATAAATATTGAGTACAATTTCCCCAAAACGCAATACCGTATCTTAAGTGGGATTCAATCAATGCATAATAAGTTGTTTTAGCCATAATTTTACCCAACTCTGTGAGAGTTTTTCGTACGGCATAGCTTCCCGAGGAAATTTTTTTATTTAAATGTATTAAATGATCAGAAAATTTAAGATCCTTGTCAATAATCACCCCTAGAAACCTTGTACTCTCACTTTGTTCTACGACTTGGTTGGCCAGATGTAAATCATCGAAGGAAAATTTAAAACTAATTATCTTGGTTTTATCTACAGGGTGGTCCATTTAACTTGAGACAGTCAAATATCTCGAAAACGGTGCGTTTCTGAAAAAAAAAGTTCAAACAAAAGTTAAATGGTGTCATGGGGGAAACAAAATGGCGGCACCGATTTTTGACTTTGACAACGACTTCAAGGTTATTTCAAGGTCAATTTTTTTTTTTTCAATGGAAACGTATTTTTTTTATTGCAGATCCCTATTCTACGGAAAAAAACAAGTAGCTTTTACTTGAAGCATTTTTCGATCAGGTTCCAATTTAAGCTGATAAACAAGAAAGAATAATATTTTTTTTTATTTTCCTCATCACACAATCTAAATTTGATAAATGCTACCATAGTGAAAAAAATACCTCAAAAACTATAACAAATGTTCAAAGTGATGTCCGCCAACTTCAACACACTTGTCAATTCGCTGTAGAAAGCTTTCATGGCACCGAATTAGAGTATCTCTACTGACAGCTCTACAAGCATTTCTTATGCGTTCCATCATATTTTCCGGTGTTGTGGGAGCCTCTTGATAAACAATCTGTTTGATATTGCCCCATAAAAAAAAAATCGAGAGGCGTTAAATCAGGTGACCTAGCAGGCCATGCAACGGGACCACCTCTTCCAATCCACCGATCACGGAAACCACGATTTAACTTCTCTTGGGAAATTCTGCCCTCTATGACAAATAATACCGCAGATATGCTCTATACCGCATCTCACCCTATGACGTCACGAAAGCTCAAGCGACGACGAGAAAGTGGAGTTAATTGAATTTTAAATATGTTTTTCCTGTGTTACCTGCAATAATTTAAACAAAAACCACTCACGCGTGCCGGGAACAATCAAATTGACAATGCACAGCGCCGCTGGACGAAGTTTTCGTGACGTCACGAGAGCGTCGTCCACACTTTAAAGCGGTATATCTCAGCGATGGTTTATCGTAGAATAACGAGGTTTGAACAGTTATTCTTAGATTTTTTTACACTAAAACTTTAATTTTTGGCGCACACCCCCTTTAATTAAAATCACAGTGCCGACGTATCCAGCACCCGAAGTTCGGCAAAAACAGGAAACGTTTAAATACCCTGGTACACCGAAAGAAAAATGATTGAATTTAAAAAAAAAATATTTTAATCATAAATAAAATATATATTACTATTTGGGACAGCTATATGGTGTATTAAGATTCAGTATTTTTATATGTTCGAAAAGTTATTTTATATTTTAGTAAATCGTATTTTAAAATAAATTTTCTTGGTTCACCAAACGTTTTTTTTTAATTTGAAAATATTCGTATACTTGTAATTAGAATATAACATTGTAAGGATCAATATTTCTTATAATAAAAAGTGATAAAACATATTTTAACTTTGAAAATTTGGATTTTAAAAATTAATACACGTATTATCTTTAATAGTTGACGAGTATTATTATCCTCATTATATAGCCTCTTAAAGTCTAATATTTTCTATATTAAATATAGATACATCGTATATTGAAAATTACCATATTATATAATAAAAAATATTATATTATTTATTAAAAATCAACATATGGTATAATAAAACTTATTATGTTGTTTATTGAAAATCAACATATTGTTTAATAAAAATTATTATATTGTTTTAATCCAATTTAATATCTTCTTTATTAAAAATTACCATATCGTTTAATAAAAATTAATATATTGTTTGCTGAAAATTATTATGTTCTTTATTAAAAATTATAATATAGTATATTGAAACTTAATAGATAGGGTGTATCGAATTAAATAAACATGCATATTTAAATTCACTACACCCTTATATTATTCTGCGTATTTGGATTCTACTGAGAAATCTATGAATTTTCTGTGTTTGAAATTTTCACCTATTTTCAACTGATTCCGGAATAATGACAGCTGAAAAATGATAATTCTTATTATTATAAATAACAACCAGTTGATTCAATGTGTTTCTTGACAGTTTTAAGAGGTAAAACATAAGTATTTTTTCACGAGAATGTCCCTCCGCATTCATAATTTTTTGATATGATAGAGGAAAAAGTGAAATATGTTTTTCAAAAATTGGATTTTTGGTTTAAATTAAATTTTCCAGCTGTCATCCCGGAAATAGTTCAAAATACGTGAAAGTTTCAAATACAAAAAATTAATTGTTTTCACAGTGGAATCCAAATATGCGATCACAGGTAGGGTGTTCTATTTAAAAACAAAAACAAAATTAATCTGGATAGCAACCAAATTTAGGGAATAATTTACGGAGCAACTTTTATTAAGGTCCCTTTTCCGTATAGGGGGTAATTAAAAAGTTACAGGTATTATGCGCGACTTTTTTGCCACTCTGTATTTATTTTAGAGAAATACAAATTATTGTTGCTGTTGAAAAAACTTGGTTTGATAATGCTGCTGTGCTAACTTACCTGTTGAGTGATCAATTGACTTTATCGATTTTGATGTGCATTAGACAAAACATATAGGAATAGGGCTTTGCAAAACCAAGACCAAGTAAACACTCGTTCAGTATTAGTCTTGGTCTTGGAAAAAAATTGGAGCCTTTCTGGACACATGTTTATAGTATTTATAGGTACACATTCTATGATATGAAAACTTTTAAATTCACAACATTTAAAAAAATAAACTTCTAATTATTCCTGTATAATATTTTTTATACAAGTAGTTTGGTATACCCGACATAAAAGATTTGAAAACAGAATATTATATCTAATTATTTACGATTTGCTATAATTTGTTCTAAAAAGGTCTACTAATAACAATAAATTCACCTAATAATTTACAAAAGTAACGATAACTGTGAGCTATAATCCAAAACAAAAACTTTACAGGATTAAACAACTCAAATTTCTATTTCTAATCAATTGAAAGGTACAGGGTGTTTTTTTTTATATATATTGACACCCCACCCCAAGAAGTATTAAATATTTGAGTTACTTTTTTCTTATCTAAACTCACCTATCATATCCAAACTTGTTGTGAATTTGATCCACTACAACTTGACAGAGTTTGGTACGAACACTGTCAGTAAAGGC